TATCGCGCAGAATAATAATTATATTTCGGTTAAACTATTTTTTAATAAGTTCTTATTTCTTTTAAGTGAACTTTCTTTTTTAACAGAACTTTATTTCAACGTTTTACAATAAATTCTCTATTCAATATTCTTGTCATCGTTGACTGTTTTTTTTCCATTCCCTGGCAACACGCTAATACCGAGATATCGATAAATCTGTACATTGTATTTAATTTAATAATGCCCACTGCAGACAAATTATGTCATTGAAACTTTTATGATCGTCATCTATCGATTGTTTTCCACGAGAAGTCAATAATACGGGTGAAACTATTTAACGCCACGTGGATTTAGCGGATTAATCAACCTCTAATAATAAAGCATTATGTATAATGTAATGATTTCTAGCGAACATGTATTTATAATACACGTATAAAGCGCACGTGTCAAATGAAAAACAAATAAAAATGTCGTAAATGTAAAAGACTGATTCATCGTGATCCTTGTCTCCGTGACAATCGAACATACTTTACATTCATACAAAATTATGTATTGAAATTTCTCGGAACGGTGGAAATGAGAACATATTTATATAAAAAAAATGATACTAGATTTCAATTGTATATTTCACTAACAAATAATAGTGAATACAATGATTGTCAATAATTCTTCGATAATAAATGTGTTTAGATAAATTATTTTTACTAATTTTTCACTAATAAGCATCATTAAATGTAAATAAGTAAACAGTTTGAAGAATAGTAAAACATTTTGAAGTGCATAAAATGGAGTTTCGTTGAAATTTAATAGAATTTCAAGAGTTAGAAAAGTTCTCAGTTAACGATCGATGAAGCGAAATGGCTAGTGGCTCAGAATCGTGAATTGAACACAAACAAATTTTCACGAATATTTCATACACTGCAGAAAATGTAGAGGATGTACGGCAGTTGTCATGGAGGTGAGTTTGCGTTGCATTCATTTGATCAATAATTTCAAAGCTTGATAGAACAGATGCACCGTTTCACTGCAACGATTTTTCCGAATACCAGTGTGTTTTATTTAAAAATCATACGTAATATACAAAATTTTTAGATTTAATAAAATATAATCTAAAATATAGTATATTCAATTTTAAAACATAATTTTCTTTCACATAAGAAAATGGTTACACAATTAACAAGTTAGCAAATAAGATAAACAATCCAAATTTAATTGTTTGGCTACTTGGAAATTATTTTTGGCTATGTTTCGTGCCAGCTTCGGACACCTTGAAGATAAATGATTGTAAAAGCTATAAAATAGAATTACGGAAAGGTATAAATAACATGATTATGCAATGTGTAAATTTGAATGCTACATTACAAAGAAAACGACACTTTCTCATATATAATAATTGTATTATATTTTAATATATTATATTTCAATATATTATATATTATATTATTATATATATTATATATTATACATATATTTTAATACGTATATATTTCAATTAACGTATCTTACCTAGCATAATTGTAAAGTTTTATTTTTATCCAATATTTACATTTTACAATTTTTTCTTATGTTTTTCTGATATTCTTGAGCGTCTTCCTTCGTTACTTCATTTCTTCTCATTGATAATCTAATTGGCTGTGCTCCTCCGTTTTTTGAAATTTCATTGGTTTTTTTCTTTTCTTTTCTTTTTTGGTTTTTATTATAACCAATTATTTATATTACATTATCACAAAAGATTAAATAAATTATATTATGATGCTTTGTGAACTACGAAAATAATTCTATAATTTGTATTTTAAGTAATTTTACGAAAGTGTATCAAAAAATAACCGGACTAATCAAATAATAAAAGGGAAGATATAAGATTTTTTTTAAAAGAAATTTTATTTGTTAACATATAATCCTTCTACATCGAAACATTTTTGCATCCAGTATTGCCACAGTTATATTTTCAAAAAAACGCAGTCAAAAGAATGCAGTCTGGTTACTTTCTGATATTTCTACGTATTAATACTAATACAGTAGTGATTACTTTTAAGTGTATATTTTAAGGTAGTGACTACAATTGATTCTACTACTGTATTCCAAAAACAAAAATGAAAACTGTACAAAATGTTGTACTATTCTTAATCATTATGCATTTTTCAAAAGGTGTCGTTAGTTTTACAACTCAATATTTCTAAAACATAAAACATTATTTAAATGAATTAAAACGAAATGAAGAGGCAATGGATTGATAACATATAGTGTCTTTTAAACTATGAGAGTACTACATTATTGTATAATATAATAATTACTTTCCAAACTGATTATATTATAATTTCACGTATTTGCTAGCTTTAATCAGTAAACATAGGAAATTAGAAGTGTCTGTAGTGAATTCTTACTGTTTATTACAGGAAGATAAGTCTTCCATACACATATTTCGAAAAAACACTTGATTACTGTGTAAGAAATAAACTTAATTGACTTTGCTTAATTACATAATCAACAAAATTGTTTATAGAATTAAGTTCTTTCACTGGTTGTGTATTGAAGTTAATTTAAAGTTTAAAAGTATCAGATAATTGTGAAAATGATAAATTCTAGTGCAGTGACCACACCGATGCATCTATCCTATGTAGATGTGTAGCACCAATTCGCAACTATTTGGCTCTAAAATATTCGTTTCATGAATTCATTGATTTTAAATTTTCTAGTAGGTTAGAAGTATATGTTTCAGTACAGAAAAATATGCGAAGTTGTGATTACGTAAGCGAAGGACTTTTTAATGTGATGTTAACTGCACTGTTAGACGGTCGATCTGCTGTAAAAGTTACAAGGTTGAAAATTCTGACATGAGGAAACGTTTTACACTTTATGGTAATATAAAATGCACGAGTTCGAAAAACTGCATGCTTAAATAAATTTGAGTTCTTAAAATGAACACACGTTGATTGATGGATGGGATTTTTTAAAACTTAGACACTAAGCAGTTACTTTATTTTATATTTTATGTATCTATAATTGTTTCTAAGATACACTGGAAAACTTACCAAACGTTTTTGTACAATAATCATAAAGAATATGTGAAATTTGAGTTATTCAGCTCATAATAAACGGTGAATAATTTAATCAAAACCAAAACTTGAATTGTAATTCTCATTTTTAATAAAGCTTAAAAGAAAGTATTTAAAAATTTTTCAATATTTATGAAGTATTATTCACTTCTAGGTAAGTACAGTACAGTGCAGCTCTCACGTCTTGGCTGACTACTCAAAAGCTAAAAGTGCACAAAGGCAAAGAGAAACGACCACTCGCGGCACTCGGTCAGGTAGTTAGGGTAACAGTGATGCCTTAATTTCGACACGTCCTTGTTATTGACCGAGTCAATAGTCGGGCAACAAAGAATGCAAGCGAAACGGAATGCAATCAAGTGAGATGTACTTCAGGTTGTTCGCGAAAAGAGCCCCCGTGACGGCACAGGGACAAGAGCGGTCTCTCGCTAGGGATTTTTTTTATGATTTTGATTGGTTATGGATAACCATATTGACAAATAGCAAATTAGTATTGAAAATTAGTCGAGAAAAGATGAAAGCTGACCAATGCGACCCGCATTCCTTTCAGGGCTCTTATGAACAACGCGGGATAGGAACATTGGCATCGGATTTCGGTTCTGCGCAGTGGCGGCTTTTTATGTTTACCAAATCCTCAGGACACGGAGGTTCGGTTGCTATGTTATTCTCTGGTTGAGAAGTATTGGCGGCATTTCTTCGAGACGAGAAATCAGACAAGAGGACTCTTCCAGTCACGATGTTTGGGTCGCTTCGGTTTCGATGCATAGTCATCATTGGTGTACAGCAGTAACACAGGGCGGAAGCAAGATCGAACGCGACGGAGTAAAACGGAAGTACAGTGCGTTCGTTATTCGCGTAAGCCAAGCCAGTTTATGGCTCAAAAGTGAAGAGAGGCAAGTAACAAAGACGCGCCGAAACTAATTCCGCCATTACAATCGGGCCGAGCGCTGCGAATGGACGTTTCCCCTTGTCCCTCTTCACTTTTAAGCCACAGACTGATTTGTGTTCAAGTCAGTAACGCACTGTATAGACAATTTTGTTTCCTATCGTTCCGGTCTTACTTCGTCGCATTCGGTCTCGCTTCCGTCCTGTGTTATTGCTGTTCACTAATGATGACTATGCATCGAAAACCGAGGCGACCCGAGCATTGTCAGTGGAACAGTCCCCTTGCTCCTATGCACATTTTGATTTCAAGATTGACTGAGGATGTGAGAGCTAGACAGTAGTCGGGTCTTTGTGTTCCTGAAATTCCATGAACATAAGAAGCCACCGAAACCAAATTCGCCGCCAATGTTTGTTACATTTCACTTCGTCGCATTCTGTTCCGCCTGCTTTCTTCGTCACGCAGCCTGGCCAATAACAACAATGTGTCACAACAGGGGCATCACTGTTATTCTATAGCTGCTACTCAATAAAGCATCGTGAATGTAGGAGTTTCCTTGCCTCTGTGACTTTTTCGCTAACTTCGGCTAACTTACAATCGAACAGTACTTACTGTATTTACGTGTGTACCATGCAAAGTATACTGTAATGACGTAATAAAGAAAGAAATGAAGAGAATGAATTGGTAACATATGGTGCCCTTTGAACTTTAAGAGTATTGTATTATTATATAATATAGTAATTACTTCCCAAGGAATAATCGGATACAGGAAACTATCGTTCAAATTAATTTAGCATTATGACTTTCTGAAAGTTATCGCTTTGTAGAGTAAAAATGTGTTTATTTGTAGAAATTACCATTGCTACAGATTAATTCGGAAAAGATCAGGGAGAAAGAAAAGTATTATTCTCAAATCAAGGAATTCCTTCAGTTAATATTTGTCGTCACTTCTTCCCCATTTGACTTCACACATTTAAATACACGAAATCCGTTATCTAATCATGAAGAATACTTTACGTTTCGTGAAACTTCGAAACGTGCAGTTACGAAGGAAAAAAAATAACAGTGCGCATTGTGACATTTACCTGAGTGTGGCCGAGGTGCTCTTGGACTTGCCGGCTGACGTAGACGATTTTCCCTGTAGTCGTGACCACGATAAAGAAGCCCCCGCTTTGGATCAAGTTCTGTTACGGTTAACAAAAACGATTTTAACGTGTTCTCAACATGTAACGATAACAGGACTGGATCGATTTACGACTACTCACGTCGACGATATATTGTTCCAAGTCCAGTTTGCCGATCTCTCGGGGTAGAAAATCTACTGTGCCGTATCCCAACGCTGTGACAGAAAACAGAAACATATAATAATTCATTAAAAGTTTGTAAAAAAATGACGCTCGTGCATACTGCAACTAATGGGTCTCATACATAGCGCGAGTAATGTAAATAATAAGAAAATATATCCATGATTATGTACGTTTATTTTAATAAAATTTTGATACTTCTTTGTATTAAAATTTTAATAGTGATAAATTTGTTTACCAAAACAAAATAAAGGACATATTTCTTTTATTTCTTTAATTTTATATGTTTTATTACATTTATATAACAGTTATATAGATTATAAAATTGTGTACGGATTTACAGTATGTATATAAATTATTATATTAGTTTCTCTGTATAGCTGTATAGTTCAAAATTGGCAATGTGAGCGTGGATAGAGTGTCGAATAAAATAATATGTACTGATTTACGCTGACTACGTGAATGATATCAACCAAGTAAAAATAAAACTGTTTAGAACATAATACACTGCTTTCTTATACATCCACAAATACCAGAGATATTTACGTCATACCATTTACATGGTTCGCCTTCTGTACAAGACATCCCACTTTAATTTTTCTGACAATATGATCACGCTAGTACTTTCAGTGTCAACAGACAGTTTTAAAATATCTGCGAAACATGTGCTATTTTAAGCGCAAACAAGTGGGTTAATAAAAAGACATTATATTTTAGTAAATTTTGAAATAATTGCAATTAATTGGTGTTGAATGGAACATTAATTATGACACCCGTGTTCTCGTTATATATAATGAATTGTAGATGACGTTTAACCACAAAATGGAATAAATAAATAACTAAACATATATTTATGATGTGTGTGTGTGTGTGTGTGTGTGATTAGACATACCTCGATGTTGTTATTATACTAGTATTGACAGGTAACTTATTTCATTTTATATTGTTATTATTATATTTCAAACTTTTCATGTGTATAGGTAACAGACAACTGACATTAATGTTTAAGAAATAAGTGAATTTTTCTTGATGGCTTTAAAAGTATAATCATTTTTGCATTTTCTTGTTGTTTGACATCTAGAATTATAATTTTTGGGGGTTTTTGGCTTTAAATGTTTTAATTCATGTTTCGTTAAATAAATTGTTCTGATATTACAGAATTTTTAAATAACACAAAACAAAAGTGAAGAAAAGTGAAGTAGTAGAATACACTGATTTATCAAATTATCCTTTAACTAGAAAATCAAGCAAATATTATAGAATATATTTTACTTTATTATCACGGAAGTAGTATTAGTAAATAGTATATTACTGAAGTAATCTAATATTATTGCAATTTCTGTATGGCCAACAGAATTTTTGTTATATCATGGTACGAAATCCGACAATAAGAAAATTTTATTTCAAATAAGAAAAATTCAAAGCTAATTTAGTGCTTTAATGATACAATTTTTAAAAATTCGAGAAAACGACTTAATCTATTTGGCTAACGAGCAGCTTAGTTAACGTATCAATTCAGGTGGAAAAATTCGATAAACATTTCAACTTACTATAGTGCGACCTGAGGAACGCTACAGCCAGCCTCAGGATGGAAATCTTGTCCATCTTCCTTGGACTTTCGGCGACAGCAGGTACGAGCTTCCCCATTGCTGTGATGTTTGTGTTGTGATTGTCGCGGCGTTGTTTCTCTGCCATGTTGCGAGCCGCTCTCGGATTGCTGTAACACAATGAAGGGGAAATTTCTTGTTAATAATGTATAACCACTAGCTACTTTACAAGGATGCTGCAACTTTCAAAATAGGGTAATTTTAAGTGAAATGGCGCGATCTCATTTAGATTTTCAAACATCTATATTTTCAATTGTTTTCAATGGTATACTGAATCTTGCACAGAGGCTAATTTTCAAAAAATTGAATTGTGCGGATGGAGATTTTCGGTGAGATCAACTTATACCGCTATACCAGATCACGATCTCCAGATTTAACACCTCCTGACTTTTTCTTATAGGGCTTTATTAAAACTGAAGTGTACGCCTGGGATAATAACAGCGTTGAAGAATTAAAAGCAGATATAAGTTTGGCGTTTGAAGATTTAAAATATACTCATAACGTATTACAAGAAGTGCACAATAATTTAGTTTCACGAGCAGAGATGTGAATGCAGCAACATGGTCAACAATTTGAAAACCTGTTATATTAATAAACTGATTTTTAACAAGTACTAATCTTATTCTTATTTATAAAACTATTCAAATTAAATACAGAACAAAGGAAAGTAGTAATCGATATCACGGTGATAAGATCACAACAATAACCGGAAGCAATTTACGACATTGTCGATGTTTAATAATACAAACACGGGTAGGAACAGAAGTTTCATACTTTGAAAGGTTTTCATACTTTTAGGTTTCTGACTGATACTCGAACTCATTCTTTTAAAAACTAAGCATTAAATGAAAAAACGTTATCCTTCTTTCTATATTTATTTTTACATATATAGAAAAAGTAAGATATCATATTGTCATGCAATGCATTTTAAATAGATAATCAATTCGAATCAAATTTAAGTGTCGTTGCAGTGTCAAGTCAAGTAGTGACCGAGAGATGCCACTGCAGTGCAAACGGTCAATTAACATTCGTCAAACAGTTTAGATAAAATATTTTCATTATAGATAAAAACACATGCTAATTACTAGGTGCCGTCCTTTAAAAAAGAACCTGACCTCGAACAGGTTAACGCTAGTCGTATCGACAGTTTGTATATACTTATGTACCTACCTAATTAATACTACACCTACTGTAACTAGTTAAATAACTAGTTATAAAATAATAACAGTAAGCAAGTTAAACGATAAATTTGTTTTATTCGAAACAGAGACAGAAGAGAATACGAAAATTGAAAAACAGATTAATCGGATAATATGGGAATTAATATAATATTAAATGAACAAAGAAAAACGAAGAATTTTAAGTCAAATTTTAAATCCGGTCGTTTAATCGTTCACGATACGTTTAGTATTAAAGTAGCAACCGTATCTTTCGAATACTTTCGAAATAAGAAATTTTCACTCATTTGGTAATTCCAGTGTTCATAAAAATATCCATTCCGACTCGACGGGGATCGCGAGAAAATCAGGTATCCCACGTGCAAAACAGTTTCGGAACAAAGTGTCATTTAGCAACGTCGAGGTATTGTCGCAAAATACGCGTCGCGAGGATTTCGCGAGGGTTGTAAATTGTCCTGACGCGAGTGAACGCAGTGGGGTTGCAAATTTTACGGGGTGTTGGGTTACGAGATTTATTTCGAGTGTCGTTGAAACGAGTCCACGTAACGTGTCGATCCCCGTTGCGAATAAAAATCCTCGTGATTTCGGGAAACGTGTCCGGCACCGGTGTTTTCAGATCAGGTTACATTTGACACGGCTTTCCCATGGCAGCGTAGCGCAGAAACGGGCCGGCGAATGCAATATCCCGCGACGCATCTAAATTTCCTCACGCGCCTCATGCGTGAGTCAACCGGCAGCATCGTGTAACCACGAAAATAATTCTACAAGCGAGTTCCACGGCCACGGGAGCACGACTCGGTAACGTACGGGGGTGGCTTTGTATTCTTTACACGTACACTCCCGATCATAAGTCACCGGATACTTACACCGTCGCCGGAAACTTTCCGACCACTTTTTCTTTACTTTTTCTTTTTTTCGAAAATACAGTTTTGTACGGACAAACATTGTGTAAAGGGAACAAAATCGTTGTCCATTTTGCTTTTAACCCTTTGCGCTGGACAATATTTTTCGCTACAAATCTTCAGTATTTTATAAGGAAATATTGACGATATTTTTCACAATTAATACAAAAAATTATTTTGTATGAATTAAGGGACAGAATTATTTTTGAATTCGACAATATTTCTCATTACAAATATTCATTACTTTCTGATGAAATATTGATGATACTTTTAACGATTTTGCTGCTTCAAATCGGATGGGGATTGAAAGCTGCCCCTCGAGTGGAAAGGGTTAACAGATTGCGAACCAACTAACTAACTAATCGCTGTATCCGGCTATTTTTAATGAAATTAACTTAGTGTAAGTCCGAGAAAGATGACTATACTTTTCTTGGAAACGCATTTAAATGGAAACTAAAAGAATTAGCACACTACATTTGATTTCGAAATAAGCTTTGGTTACTTTCTTAAAAAGTAATCAACAACAATTAAAATTATAAGTGAAAAGACCGATTGCCATTGTAACTCTTTATGCATCGATTGTATTAATTGTTTATGCAACATAATTGAAAATCTGCCTTGAAATTACCCTATATCGCTATATGAAAAAAACTTAGATATCTTATTGTTATTTAATACATTTCAATTAAATAATCAGTTGTAATAAAATATAATATTTTTTAAGTGGTAATTAGCGAAGTTACAAAGATAAGTACTTATATAAAAGCGAGATTTCCCGTATGCCGTACGTATGTGTTAATATACACTTCTCTGCTTAAATGTTTACATTTATAATTTAAAAGTTCATGCGTTTATAATGTACAAATATAAGGTTTATTATACAATATGTCTATTTGTATACAAATTAAGAATAATTGTTTCACTTGTCTCTAAATTGCACAACTGCTTTGGTCAATTACCAAATGAGTGAAAATCTACGATCAATGTTTGGCACGTTTTGTGGAACGTTTATTGGATATTTCGTAATCCTTCTATTATTTATAATACTTCAACACAATAATAAGCCAACTAATTGACAGAATCCTCAAAATAGCGGAAGAAGTAAGTAATATATGATGAATCGTTATTTTTATCGTTATAGAAAGGTTTTGTAATATTTCGTAACTTCAATGTATAGAACACTATTTAAAACAAGACTGTTACTTTCTTTTTTTAACGATACCAATAATTCATCATTGCAATAAATTGGCTCTGTATACTAGTACCATTAATCAACTTTATAGAAGAGAAAATTTTTTAAACTAAACTGATACTCGCCAAAAGACACATTGACGTTAATATCTTGCTTTCAAATATCACACCCACACGCTCTTTCTCAGAAAACTCTCTAAATTCCGAAATATTTATAGTAAAAGCAAGGATTGCGTCTAATTGTTGCCAACTATATAGTTGCACACAAACACCTTCATTTCAAATTCAAGTTCAACTATTTCACGGTTGCCAAGACAAGCAGATCATTTACTAATACATTTATAGATTATATATTTCTTTCGACGCAGTAAACTTTGTTCAACGGTTATTCCAGTCAGTCATATGACACTGACTTTTAAAATGTTGTTTGTACGAATAAGCATTGTTTATTAGTCTTGTAATAATCAGAAAATGAATATTTATGAACTTTCATATTTTTATAGATTAAATAACGATGTTACAAAAGTAAGAATTGAAATTTCTCAGTGAAATTAATATGTCAAATTATAAGCTTTCTTAAACTAAAAAAAAAGAATAGTTGTAAATTGTTCTAATTTTATAAAATGTTCCACTTCAGCAAAAGTTACACGTTCACAAATATTATTGACACATAAATTTTCTGATCTGGTATATATCATCTTGTTAATTTTACTATCGTAGTCTATATAATCGTAGTAATATATATATATATAAAATAAAAATTAATTATACCGCAAAACAAAGTGCGTAAAAAGTGTAATAAATAATTTTAAAGTTAATTACATTTATGGACATTTGTATACCCTTAACGATTTCTCTGCACTTCGAATAATAAAATTATGGAAGCAATATGTTGTAAAGCACTAACAATTTTATAAAACGATTTATTTATTATTCATTCGTGTAATGTAGAAAAACCGGAAATAATATCGGTACATACAAATGAACCAGGAATATGCAAATGTAATTGATATTTGCACGTGTAAAACGGTGTTATATGTGGAATACAAAATGCCCACCGGAAAATGTGTGCAATTGAATTGTTATTTCAGAAATTCAATTATTTGACGAAAAATATGAACAAAAATATTTGTCGCATGCCAGACAAACTGCTTTAACGCGATATAGTAATACAATTATTCATTAATGATAATTATTCAACTTCTGTAACCACTTGGCACTATAACATCTGTTATCCATCATCATTCATTTTTAATTGTTTAAAAATATGTGGCAAATTTAAACATGGAAAAACCATAAAACCGAAGGACTATCATTAAACTGTTCCACTGTTTAGAACATTATAAATTTCACGGTAATTATCAACTTGTTATTGAAGTTTACTAGAATTTGTAGTTTCTGAACTTTCGATAAATGTCTTCGATAGTTACCATTTTTACAGAAAACACTGATACGGTGTTCTTTTTTAAAGAATCTAGCGATTAAAATATTACAATTATCTAATCTATTTTATCTAATTAAAGAGTTCGTTACCGGTGTAATGTAGTACAGTACGAAACCACATATAATATCTATTCAAATACTGTTACAACTTCATCTCTACTACTACTATAAGTACTTTATCAACAGATCAGATTAATTGGTACTTTATGATTCTGCTACTTCATAATTTCATAATATTAAAATGATAAGGATCGTAATATTAATCAAATATGACATCAAATGTTCATGATCTCTGATTTCCTTTGACAAGATTATATATTATACAACGTAATGGAATCTGGAAGAAAAGTATAATTAATTATGATACAAAATGAAAATAATAACAAAAAAGGAATT